AAAAAAACCCTTCATTATGCAGTAGGAGTGATTCAGAACTGCACGATGAAGGTTTGTGCTATTTTACAAGCAGGTATTTATTTTCTATCTCTCCTGTTCAGCTGCCATGGAATGGGACTCTGAATCTGTCAAGTCTGAGGATGTCTTCAAGCAGCCTGCCAACCCTGAGCTAGAGATGAAAGCTGCGCCTAGTACTCCACAAAGCAATGGAGGCGTCCGCCTTCATGAGTTTGTCTCCAAAACTGTAAGAATGACATTAATGCGAAAGAACAACACTGACTGAATGTGACTAGAAAAGCACATTTTCCTTTCAGATTAAAGGAGGGTTCTCTTTATCTCCAAATTAAATATGTTTTGCCATTATACAGCAATGGCTGAAAAAGTAAAAGGGATATTTACTTATACATTTTAAGAATTGAATGTGTTAAATTATTTATTTTTTTATTGACTTAATTTAGTGTCTCTATAGCAAGGGTGCACAATTAATTTCCCCAAGGGGCCACATGAGAGACTGGGGCTATTGTGGGGACCTGCACTAACATGCTTATGAAAAGATAAAATTAATATTGAACAGAATTGAGTTCAACTTCAGATTGGTACCCCCCAAAACAATAGTCCCAGTTTCTCTTGCGGCCCCATGGGAAATAAATTACCCAGCCCTGCGCTTCAAAAAAAATGTTGGCATCCATATTGACAATGTTGTTTGCTCATTTGTATCGCTATTTATGCAGGCCATTAAACAAAGTGTCTCCGCTTCTTTAGCTGCATATATATGGTAGATAACTTCAGTCTCCTGTGGAATGTCTTTATAGGTCATTAAGCCTGAATCCTGTGTGCCCTGCGGAAAGAGGATCAAGTTTGGCAAGATTTCACTGAAGTGCAGGGACTGCAGGGTGGTCTCGCACCCCGAGTGTCGTGAGCGCTGCCCTCTACCATGCATCCCCAACCTAGGTGGCACACCAGTCAAAATTGGGGAGGTTTGTAATAAAAAATTGTACTTTTCATGTGCAGGTGGATCCACTGAAATTTAATCACAGTTCTGGCTGCTTAACCCATATCCTGTCTTTGTTTTTGTTTTTTTCAGGGTGTTCTCGCAGACTACGTCCCAGACACATCACCCATGATCCCTCCCATTGTGGTCCACTGTATCAGTGAGATCGAGCAAAGGGGACTGCATGAAGTGAGTGCTGTTTCACTGTCCTAATATTATGCAGAAATGTGAAGAACAGTAAAGCCTCAAGCCCCAGTAGTTATTTTTAATGTCTTTCCCTTAAGCTGAGACAGAGCTGTAACTAAGATTTTACAATCTGTTACTGGGAGCTTAAGTTTGTAATTGGGCTATGGAAAGGCTCCAGATCTGCTGATTGCTGTTTGACTTTGCTGCCATCTCTTCTTTCTGGGTTGTTTATTTAGCACTTGTCTTACTTGCCTTTTTTGTGCATAACTATCAATTTCATGTGAAAATTGTTGCGTTTTCCCTACCCGAGTTTCTTGCCTTTTCTGTTCTTATTAGATATCCTTTATCTTAACAAGATGAGTTGTGGACTCATCAAACTCTCTTATTTGCAGAAATTTTGCTAAAGTTAATGTGCAAATGGAGCTTAAGTCTGACTGACTGACAGATCTGCTGATACTCTGTGTGATTTCATGTACTATTCTTTGCTATTTATCAGTAAATATTTAGTTGAACCATTTCTATGAAAGGGTGAAAGAGGAAGGCAGAAAATTAAGGAAATCAGAGCTAGCAAATGTCCTGGGGATGCTGTCTTTTGGATATTGGATTTTTTTTTTTATTCGCATAGTACTAAATCACAGCAATAACAGAGTTAAGACACTTTATATTGAAAGATAAAGACCCTACAATAATAGAGAGAAATCCCCAACAATTGGACATTGCCTTATAAATAAGCACTTGGCAACAGTGGGATGAAAAACTCCCTTTTAACAGGAAGAAACCTCAGGCAGAATCATGGATTGGGAGGGGCAGCCATCTGACACGACCAGTTGGGAGTGATGGGGGAAGACAGGATAACTAAGGGAGAGTTCAGTCACCTGATCCAGCCCAAACTATCAGCTCTATCAAAAAAAAAAATTAAGCCTAATTCAGACTGGGAGCTTTTCCATAGAAGAGGGGCCTGGAAGGCTTTTCCTCCCAGCCCTACGAACCATAACAGCCTACAGTATAAGAGTGAAGTGCTCTGTTGGGCTT